TATTGTCGTGGAAATTAGGCGGGAGTTGCGGTCACCTTACGCAAGTTTTTATCGACTGATAACCAGTGGTGCAAATCGCCAAAAGCCGATGGTTTTTATATGAAACAGACTTGGTTCGCGGTCACCTATCGAAGGTGAGGCGGTTTGATCACACACCCGGCCGCAAGCCAACGTACTCCTCAGGACCACCGATCGAACGTTACCTGCCTGTGTCGAGCAACGGAATCTGGACATCGCGCCTTTCAACGATTGGCAGCCGACACCGGATCCCAGCACCGCTCGACTGAAGCATGTGGACTAAAGTGGCGAGCGAAATAAGAACTGGTGGCCCAATAGCGTAACACTTGCAAGCGAGTACACGTAAGCGACAAGCCCAGATAGCCAGACCTTACGTTGCATACGTATACCTGTGATTCCATGTTGGTGAGAACAGAGAGTGAGCGATGTCAACATAGGTCAAGACGAGTAAGTTCACTCAGTGCATGAGATGCACCCATCGAGGAATTCACATACTATGGCGCAGTCCGTGATCGCGCGTCATGATGGAACAGCGCTACATTCTGGAATTGTGACACCAGTCCTACAAGAAATTGCATACTCAAGTCCGCTATATGTTCTGTTGCCTATGCCGGTTACACGTTCAAGCCCCTCGCACCTTTATCGAAGGCAAATTAAAAAGAGTACTTGTATATTTAACCCGTCAGGTTCTCCAATTCAATCGATTTGAGAATACCACAACGAGAAGATCACCGACACACAGGTAAATGTGCGGCTGCAATTCAGAGTAATTCCTCTCACCCGTTAGTACCACATATAAAAGAACAAGAGATTATCTTAAAACCCGTCCCCAAGGAGTTGTTACCAAAGAAAAAAGTGGGCCGTGAGGTGAAAGGCGGCATCTCGTTCGTAGAAGGACCCGATACGTGAGATGACGTAGGGTCAGAAAAACTGACTGCTTCATCGGCACGACTCCCATGTACGAGGTGCTATACGGCTGGCTAATCGGTCCACCAGCGATCAATAGACAGAAAACAAAATGCAGTGTGAAGTGGGAGATATAACGTGATAGAAGCTGAAAATGTAGGGGTCAGTATAACAAAATCCTATGGATGAATGTTGGCGACCTTGCGTGCACACGGGAATATTGGGCGAGAGATGGCTGACCTCACCTTGAACCCATTTGCTTAGGTTTCGTTCACTCTGGGATTCCAAAACCCCCTTCATTCTTGCTTAATCTGACTGACGCCGCAGGCGTAAACAAATTGGTGGAATATATGTGCGATTTAGTGCTGATGGGTTCTTACTTATGTTACTGAAAGTAGCGCCAATTTGGCTTATTTTCACCAGATTGGCCTTACTGGCATATTTTTTAATCCAACAATTTGGCTTTGGTCACCTTTAATCGATCTACCAGGTTGAGTGTATTTCTGTCCCTTTGTCATTCCGCTATCTCTTCTTTTGCGAATACGGATACTGCTTCTCTCCTATTTTGCAACATTTACTTTCCTCATCTTACAGAAGCCAAAGTCACGTGCACGCCTACTGCCCGCACATCCATGTCACCGCATGCATCCGCCGTCCACTTCGATTGGCCAATACACGTTACACAGTATAAAGTAACCTGACTACGGCTGACACCCAGTGGGTTTTCTTGCAACTAACGTCTCGTTGGGACGACTCTCTGTGTTCCTTTTTGCTTTCGTGGGCCTTTTGGAAAGAGGATACTGCAGATTGGTAATCATACGGTATAACAACAAGTCAAACGTTTAGGTCTATTCCTACGCGCTATGGTAAAAGAAGGCAGACACATGTGCCATTTGATAGAAGTGAAGACCAGAATACTGAGTACGTGTGAAGCAAGGTGATGGGTTGGAAGCGCGTTGCATCTGTTTAAGTTGTAAACCTAAAGACCTGCCGAACTTGCACAATAAGATTAGAATCTCACGAACAGAGAGGAAAACAATGGCGGGGCACGTTGGAATTCGCTGACTGCGAGTCATTTAGATTGTCTGGTGGAATGGGTTAAGAATCTGAACCTGCGGTTACTTTAGAAACTCTTCGTTTCCGGTTGGCGGGAGTAACTATCGACTCTCTTATCTTCCGTCCCTGGTGCGTTATTGCTTTGCCTCGCGGCTCCGGCTGGATTGGTAATTACTGACTAGGGCTTGTGCAAAGGCTTGTGTTTCTCATCCCGGAGAGAGTTATCAGGCGGTCACCCCCGCGAACGGTTTTATGGTCTCCGCTTCTTAAGGTGGATCTGCAACTGGATAAGGGAGATTATTTGTGGAACCATTAATAGTACTGGCTTCATACCTAAAGAATACCATTGCATATAAAAAACTATCCTAACCTTCGATACACATACAAACAATACTCAATCATACAACCCTACCTACGTTATACCCCCAGTAACCCTCATATACACATCATAGCACGCTAGGGAACCCTGCACCGTCAATAGGCACAGGTCCGAAATATCCCTATCAGTGAAACCTAACCTACGGAGCCCAATTGCGGAACGCTTGTAGATGCACCCACGTTCTGTAAGGATAAGCGGCATATGCACAACAGCGGGCTTCATCGGCGCATCGGGAAGAGATAGGCGAAGCACTCCATCGTTCACTTCAGGGTGGTCGTATTTACGAACTTTCTCCACCCACATGGCCTCCATCTTATCACCAGTAGTTACGGCAACGTCAACCAGCCTCACCTGACTAGGGGAGGCGATAACCAAATCAGGCTTACAGAAGCTATCTGCCTTCGCTATAACAGGCTCGACCCAGGCTTGATAACCTTTCTTACGCACTATGGCGGCAACCCTTTTGACTACCCTATTATGACGAGCACAACGGGCGTCATGGGTGATAGCACATTTCTGTAGGATATGGGCGACCGACTCATGGTGCCCACAGTGTCCCCGACACAGAAGCTCCCTACCTTTACGCGAGCCACCCCGACTCGACCTAACCTTAGAAGGCAAGACACCTGCACGCAACTTCAAACCCCTAATGTAGAGCCTAGGGAATACACCCTCAGGTCTACGCACCCAATTATAACTAGCTTTGTCAACTAACCAAGGGCAAGTGCCCTGCAAGTCATGCATTTCAGTATATTTCTTCAATCAGTGGTGCCTACCTTCTTTCTTGGAGCATATCTCCTGCCCACCTACCCTAATGGGTAGGTTGGCCACCCTCATATCCTTCTGGACCGTTTCATGGTGAATCAAGCTACGTATCCACTCCTCAGGAGAGGAGAGAATTCTACTAAACTTAGCTCTCTGTGCCAGGGGCACCGTGATACCAAGGTTCGGTACACCTAACCCGCCTTCGGCCGAGCCCACATATAGGAAGGCCAAGGATACATCCTTGGGCAACCGCAGCCATCTTCGGATCGCCTCCCTCACCATCCTATCGAGCTTCTTAAGCGTATTACGATGGGCGTTGCCCACGATCAGCTCGTATTGAAGTTTAGTCAACGCAAAGTCACAGAGGATTCTCAGCCGCTGCTGGGGCTTCAGTGGTGCCTTGCTAATCTCGGAAATCATACACTCCAACCTACGCGTACTTTTAAGCGAAGACCTACCCTTCCAAGTGAAAGGGAGGCCCAAGTAGCGCACTTCTTCATCAACTGTCATAGCTGGAATTACCCACCCCCACCTGGTACTCCCTAGGTTCAAGCACCGTCACCTTCTGCTTGCCCAACTTCCTGATGGTCAACGTTCTACACTTGGACGTATTCAGCAGCATACCAGAGGCCTCCAGCCCCATTTCTAGAACCTTCAGCGTAGCATGCAAATCAGCAGCAGTATCGGTGACTAGGACCAGGTCATCCGCATAAGCAAGCGCCCCAACCGGTTTGCCCACCGCTGCAGACTCCCCAAGCCCAATGCCTGAACCCGAGAGCACCTCATCCATCACCATAATAAAAAGAAGTGGAGACAGGGGATCCCCCTGCCTTACACCCCTACCACACCGAATCCTCTCACCCTCTAGCAACACCTCCGACTCAACGTACAACTTCCTGAGATAGCTAAGCATTGGCGCTGGGGCTCCATGCAACTGCGCCACCCGAAGCACTGTATCATGAGAGACCGTATCAAACGCCTTAGCTACATCCAAGAATGCAACCGCAGCATTAGCGACCTGACCATGCACAGTACGCAACAGGGAGTGCAGCGCATAGGTCGCCTCCAGACAGCCGTCTCGTTTCTGAAATGCCACCTGAAGCGATGTCAATCTCAAGTGAGACCTCCAACGTATGGCAAGTATCTTGTGAAGCGTTCTGATAACCACTGAGAGTCATAGTCCACCGCCCGCCGATTACCACTCACGCTCTGATTGAGTATTCTCTCACTTCGACATACTCCACACGTGGGCTGATGTAAATGAGAGAGATACCACAGACTGTGAGAGAGTATCGGCCGTTGGCGGTGGCTTCAGTGGTTATCAGAACGTTACACAAGATACTTGCCATACGTTGGAGGTCATACTTGAGATTGACATCACTTCAGGTGGCATTTCAGAAACGAGACGGCTGTCTGGAGGCGACCTATGCGCTGCACTCCCTGTTGCGTACTGTGCATGGTCAGGTCGCTAATGCTGCGGTTGCATTCTTGGATGTAGCTAAGGCGTTTGATACGGTCTCTCATGATACAGTGCTTCGGGTGGCGCAGTTGCATGGAGCCCCAGCGCCAATGCTTAGCTATCTCAGGAAGTTGTACGTTGAGTCAGAGGTGTTGCTAGAGGGTGAGAGGATTCGGTGTGGTAGGGGTGTAAGGCAGGGAGATCCCCTGTCTCCACTTCTTTTTATTATGGTGATGGACGAGGTGCTCTCGGGTTCAGGCATTGGGCTTGGGGAGTCTGCAGCGGTGGGCAAACCGGTTGGGGCGCTTGCTTATGCGGATGATCTGGTCTTAGTCACCGATACTGCTGCTGATTTGCACGCTAGGCTGAAAGTTCTAGAAATGGGGCTGGAGGCCTCTGGTATGCTGTTGAATACGTCTAAGTGCAGAACGTTGACCATCAGGAAGTTGGGCAAGCAGAAGGTGACGGTGCTTGAACCTAGGGAGTACCAAGTGGGGGGTGGGGTAATTCCAGCTATGACGGTCGACGAAGAGGTGCGCTACTTAGGTCTCCCTTTCAGTTGGAAGGGTAGGTCTTCGCTTAAAAGTACGCGTAGGTTGGAGGGTATGATTTCCGAGATTAGCAAGGCACCACTGAAGCCCCAGCAGCGGCTGAGAATCCTCTGTGACTTTGCGTTGACTAAACTTCAATACGAGCTGATCGTGGGCAATGCCCATCGTAATACGCTTAAGAAGCTCGACAGGATGGTGAGGGAGGCGATCCGAAGATGGCTGCGGTTGCCCAAGGATGTATCCTTGGCCTTCCTATATGTGGGCTCGGCCGAAGGCGGGTTAGGTGTACCGAACCTTGGTATCACGGTGCCCCTGGCACAGAGAGCTAAGTTCAGTAGAATTCTCTCCTCTCCTGAGGAGTGGATACGTAGCTTGATTCACCACGAAACTGTCCAGAAGGATATGAGGGTGGCCAACCTACCCATTAGGGTAGGTGGGCAGGAGATAAGCTCCAAGAAGGAAGGTAGGGATTATTGGCTGAAGAGATATACCGAAATGCATGACTTGCAGGGCACTTGCCCTTGGTTGGTTGATAAAGCTAGTTATAATTGGGTGCGGAGACCTGAGGGTGTATTCCCCAGGCTCTACATTAGGGGTTTGAAGTTGCGTGCAGGTGTTTTGCCTTCTAAGGTTAGGTCGAGTCGGGGTGGCTCGCGTAAGGGTAGGGAGCTTCTGTGTCGGGGACACTGTGGGCACCATGAGTCGGTCGCCCATATCCTACAGAAGTGTGCTATCACCCATGACGCCCGTTGTGCTCGTCATAATAGGGTAGTCAAAAGGGTTGCCGCCATAGTGCGCAAGAAAGGTTATCAAGCCTGGGTCGAGCCTGTTATAGCGAAGGCAGATAGCTTCTGTAAGCCTGATTTGGTTATCGCCTCCCCTAATCAGGTGAGGCTGGTTGACGTTGCCGTAACTACTGGTGATAGGATGGAGGCCATGTGGGTGGAGAAAGTCCGTAAATACGACCACCCTGAAGTGAACGATGGAGTGCTTCGCCTATCTCTTCCCGATGCGCCGATGAAGCCCGCTGTTGTGCATATGCCGCTTATCCTTACAGAACGTGGGTGCATCTACAAGCGTTCCGCAATTGGGCTCCGTAGGTTAGGTTTCACTGATAGGGATATATCGGACCTGTGCCTATTGACGGTGCAGGGTTCCCTAGCGTGCTACGATGTGTATATGAGGGGGACTGGGGGTATAACGTAGGTAGGTTGTATGTTTGTTTGTATGTATGTGTATAGTAGGTTAGGATTGTTGTTTGTATGTTATGTCTTTGGTATGAAGCCAGTACTATTGATGGTTCCACTAATAATCTCCCTTTTCCAGTTGCAGATCCCACCTTATGAAGCGGAGACCAGAAACCGTTCGCGGGGGTGTCCGCCGATGACTCTCCGGATGAGAACACAAGCCTTTGCACAAGCCTAGCAGTAATTACCAACAGCCGGAGCCGCAGGCAAAGCAATACGCACCAGGGACGGAAGATAAGAGAGTCATAGTTACTCCCGCCAACCGGAAACGAAGAGTTTCTAATGTAACCGCAGGTTCAGATTCAACCCATTCCACCAGACAATCTAAATGACTCGCAGTCAGCGAATTCCAACGTGCCCCGCCATTGTTTTCCTCTCTGTTCGTGAGATTCTAATCTTATTGTGCAAGTTCGGCAGGTCTTTAGGTTTACAACTTAAACAGATGCAACGCGCTTCCAACCATCACCTTCTTCACAGGTACTCAGTATTCTGGTCTTCACTTCTATCAAATGGCACATGTGTCTGCCTTCTTTTACCATAGCGCGTAGGATAGACTAAACGTTGACTTGTTATACCGTATGATTACCAATCTGCAGTATCCTCTTTCCAAAAGGCCCATGAAAGTAAAAGGAACACAGAGAGTCGTCCCAACGAGACGTAGTTGCAAGAAAACCCACTGGGTGTCAGCCGTAGTCAGGTTACTTTATACTGTGTAACGTGTATTGGCCAATCGAAGTGGACGGCGGATGCATGGTGACATGGATGTGCGGCAGTAGGCGTGCACGTGACTTTGGCTGTAAGATGAGGAAAGTAAATGTTGCAAATAGGAGAGAAGCAGTATCCGTATTCGCAAAGAAGAGAAGCGGAATGACAAAGGGACAGAAATACACTCAACCTGGTAGATCGATTAAAGGTGACCAAGCCAAATGTTGGTAATAAAAAATGCCAGTAAGGCCTAGGTGAAAAAAGCCAAATTGGCGCTACTTTCAGTAACATAAGTAGAACCCATCAGCACTAAATCGCACAATATTCACCAATTTGATTACGCCTGCGGCGTCAGTCAGATAAGCAAGAATGAGGGGGTTTTGAATCCCAGAGTGAACGAACACCTAAGCAAATGGGTTCAAGGTGAGGTCAGCCATCTCTCGCCCAATATTCCGTGTGCACGCAAGTCGCCAACATCATCCATAGGTTATGTTATACTGACCCCACATTTCAGCTACTATTACGTAATCCCAATTCACACTGCTTATGTTTCGCCTAAGCTGTGACGATAAGCCAGCTAAGACCTGTACTGTGCGTGCAGAATCAGTCAGTTTCTGACCTACGCATCCACGGTCCTAAGACGAGTGCCGCCTTTCACCTCACGGCATTTTTTATTGGTAACACCCTTGGGACGGTATAAGATAATCTCTAGTTATTTTATTGGTACTGGTGAGAGAATACGAAATGCGCGCCTTTACCTGTGATCGTCTTCTCGTTGTGTTATTCAAACTATTGAAGGAAACTAACGGTTAAATAAACAAATACTTTATTTCTCGAAGGTGCGAGGGGCTGTAACGGCATAGGAACAGAACAATGCTGACATGCATGAATTTCTTGAGACTGGTCACATCCAAATGTAGGGTTCCACTGACGCGAACCGGACTGGCATAGTATGTGAACCGATGGTGTGCATCCATGCACATGTGACTTACACGTCATGACCTAGTTACATCGCTCACACTTGTTCACCCATGGACACGGTATACTATGCCACGTAAGGACAGGCTCTCAGGGCTTGTCGCAAGTGTCCGCTCAATTGTACAGTGGCCACCAGCTCTTTTCGCCACTTAGTCCCTGCTTCAGTCGAGCGGTGGATCCGGTGTCTGCTGCCATCGTGAAAGTGCAGACCACCGTTGCTGACCCTGCAGGTACGTTCGATCTGTGGCTGAGGAGTACGAGGCTTGCCGGCCGGTTAGATCAACCCGCCTCACCTTCGATAGGTGCACCTCAACCAGTCTGTTCATATAACCATCGGCTTTGGCGATGCACACTGGATCAGCGATAAAAACTTCGAAGGTTGACCGCAACTCCCGCCTAATTTCCACGACAATATCCGGGTAAATCACGTACACTCAAGATGGCCAAATGTCCCGATTTAGGCGGGACAGTCCCGCATTTCAAGCTGATGTCCCGCGTTTGTAGCAATGCTGGGCGGAACGCACTAATGTACTGCATTTGAGGTCGTAGACCTCAGAATGTCCCGCTTTGAGCATGTAGAATGCAGGTGAGGAAACAAGAATCGAACCGTGGCGATGCGTGCACACCATAATTTAGGGAGGCAGAAGGCAGTGATTGCTCGGAGGATAAAAAGACCGGTAAAATGGAGGAGGAGGGAAACGGGGACAGTGAGAGAGAGTAGACGGAGCAACACTGGTTTGACGGAACGAAAGAAGAACGGGACACGAGCGATGTCCGGTAGTGGGCCTGAAACAGACAGAAAAAAGGGTATTGTGCGAGAACGCAATAAATAATACCAAACCGCAGTTATTGAAGCATCCCAGACTAACCCTAAGCACTGTGTGTTGCATGCACGTTCAGGTAAGTCACGAGCTAGCGAACGACACCAGGGCCGGTCAGAATGAGACGCGTAGAAGCAGAGATACGGGCGTGTAATAGGCGGGATATACCACACCAGGAGGCTCACAAAGTGCATGGTGTCGCTAGCGGAAGCCCAGAGAGGTGGTGTTTCGTGGGAAGGAAACGTGACTCATTAAGGTACGTCCGCTTGGGTGTTGATATAGCTTGTGCTGGCGCCAATAAAATTTGTGCTTGATTGCTGCGCCGTTCTTGCTACCATAAAACCAAATAAGTGGGCCGCCATGAGTTGGACGGGATAGCCTACTGCAAGGGTGGACAACGGGGCAAGAAAACATTTTAGCACACCTTTCCTGAGTAGACAGTCCCAAAGAGCACATAGATCAACCGAATCGAAGGCACCTTTGAAGTCGAGGAACACGACTACGGTGGGCCGACAATATGTGTGACGGTGCTCCAACAATTGACGCAAAGTGAAGATGTGATCGATAAAGCTAGGACCCCAATGTAACCCGGCAAGCTCCACACGAATATGGCTATCAAGAGCCCAAGTCAGTCTGTGAAGGACAGAGGCAAGTAATTTGGAGGCGATGGGATCATATTGAACCCGTTATGGTTGCCGCATGCTGAACATGAGCCTCCTTTGAAGATGGGAACGATAACGGAGCGGGTCAATTCGGTTGGGTCAGATTCCTGCTCCCACAGTTTCACTAGTAATTCATGTAAATCATCAAGAGCAGAGCCCCCAAATTTGAAGAGCGCTGGACGAAGATCATCTGGTCCTGCGACTTTGTTCAATTTCAACAGTTTGATCTCCCGTTTGACTTCTGATCGAGAGAACGGATCCAAAGGGACAGGGAGCAGGGCGATGACTGGTCGGAGAGGAATCAAACATTTCCGGCCGATTAAATTGCTTTTCAAAATGCTCAGCCCAACGCTCCAGATGTTTTGACAAAATGGTGGATAGGCTGTCCACTCTCGTCACGTATAGTTTCACTAACACCAGGTCTCCTGCTGCCCGTTTCCTGTATGACGGAATAACTTTCGATGGTTACCAAGGGCAGCGGCTACTTCCATCCCTGAGATACAAAGAGACCACCAGGATTCGCGGTCTCTCTTCAGGCTAGCACGAAGTTTTGCCCGGAGCACTTTGAGAGTTTCAATGCGTTCGCTTAAGGCCTGACTATGCCCGCGAGCATCGATAAGTTCCAGAGACCGCGAAGAGACCCAATGTCCATGTTGGCGATTAGACTTACCATATGAGGATTCTCCTGCTCCTAGTAAGGTCCGGTGAATATGTGACCAGTGACCTTCAATTGTCTCCAGTGTGCACTTACTCAAGTCGCATGCCAGCGTACTTTGATAGGTATACAGAATAGCTGGATTCGTTAGTTGGCTAGTGTCAATGCGCTCACAGTGTCGTCGTGGGCGTCCACCAAAACGCATCTGCATGTCAGCACATACAAGTGCATGGTCGGTGTCCACACATGTGCTCTAAATTGAGCGACAGTTCTAGATGTAGCCTCTCCAGCGGTAACTGATTGCAATGTGGTCGATTTGCGTCCATAGCTGGTGGGCGCCAAGTCACCCTCTGGCGGGTGCTGTGCCGGAAGTTAGTGCTCGCAAGAAATAAGCGAGCATCTTCACACGAATGGAGGAATCGCTCACCGTTATCATTACGGGAGCCTATACCGTGCTGACCGCCCAGATGCATTTCATCAGTGCACAACTTTCCAACTTGTGCGTTCAGATCCCCCGCCAGCACAACAGTGTCCATGCTTCTTCTGTGGCGAAGGAGCTCAGTCAGTTGGCGGTAGAAGTCGTTTTCTAACGTATCACCGCTAGAGTTTGTGGGCGCGTAGACAGCGATGAGAAATAGACACTTATTTCCGTAAGCGGATATTAGACGCCGCAGAAGCCATCGCCATTCGGCTGTACGAACCAGCACTGTGCACGCAGAAAAGGTTCACTCACGCGTTGAGCCTACCTTGGTCAGGACGGACTGCAGTTGACCTGTACGCACGTACGACTACAACTGTAACCTAACCGACGGTTTGTCACAGCACAATAGGATCAATTTGGCTGGCTGACGACCCGTTGGGTCTGTATACAAAAATTTTGCATTCCATGTAATTGTAAAAGCCTGATGAAGAATTGCCGAAAACATATGTTCGCTTACACAGACTTCTGAGCAAGCAATGGGGTTTTTCAATTCAGACACCTATTAGTCCCGCGCGACTTCGAAGTTTTGGACGAGCCAGCCAATCGGACCGCACACATTCGGCTACTGACTGGGATCCAATCAGCCAGAGTAGCTTCAGCCCGGGGACTCGGGGCAATGCCAACACCAGCTTGGCCGGTGTTCGAAGCTGCATCATCACCGGATAGGCGCAATGAGGAAATACTGTTGGTGGCACCTGTAGGGGGTCGCAGAGTGAGCACAGAGCTCGAGTCTTGCAGGCAGCTCTCCGATAAGCAGTAGATATCGATGGAAGGTCTCTAAAGTTCCGGCATCATCATACACGTTAGCTAGAGGTGGGGAACAACTCAGTTACTGTGCCGCAAAAGTTCCGGCAAATGCTGCCTGTTGACCGATCTGTAACTATGTGCGTACATTGAGGAATGCCAATCTGAAGAAGGATCGAGGGCTCCAAATGGAAGCCGATGAACTGGGCTTGACCGCCTGCTTGGACAGTGGCTTGTCAAGAGAATAGGAGTGATGCTCCGCGTTTGCATGAGTTGAAACTAGAAGATAAACGCCTAGCAAAGCATGTTGGGGGAGGGC